ACTCAGTGTGAAAACAGGAATGACTCAGGTGCGTTATTTTCAGGTATCCTTTGAAATTTCATGACATGTCCTCTAGGTCATCCTAATTTAGTAAGGGGAAAAACCTTGTGCATATTGTGTCTGAAAGAAATTTTTAGAGTTCGGTGCATCGAAATCAGATCACCTACAAACCTTCAACAGGACAGATTAAAGAGGATTAGATTATCAAGCAGCTCTTTTTATGGTAATCCCAGGAGTTCTGGTATTTCACTGGTATCTGCCCTCTGTACTATTTTTCAATATAACCTATTCACATCTTAATAAGGGTCATGAAGCCTGAACAAAGTTTTCAATTTTGGATCTCACTAAAGTTGTGTGTACTGTGATGAACATGTATATATTCGACTTGTTAAATGTTCGTACTAAAGTTCATAGGGTTCTAAACCCCTTAGCTCCAGCATTGCGGCAGTGGACCGTATTCCTAAGATTATAGCTCACAGTCACGTTGGATCCTTGTGAAAAACAATTATGGATGCTGACCCTGCCCTTATGTTACACTTATTTACCTTCATGTCCCCACTTGGAATATGGCCACACTTGGCGGTGTTAACAGGCATCTTTTCTTGAAACCAGTTATTCAGTATATCTAAGCCCATTTGAAAAGCACACACCTTGACGTCTCCTGTTATTTCACCGTCGGCGTTAACTGGCATAGAGTACTCAACTACACTTGATAGTTTACTTACAAACAGTATCAAAGGCAAAGGACCTAGGACAGAGCCTTGGGATACTCCATTATGCACTAATTTCTAGAGGGAGCATTTGGTGGAGTGACACTAATTAAACGTTGGTGCGTATTGTGATATAGCTGTCTCATATTCCCTTCTCTTACAGCTTTATTCGCCATCGTTGCTTCCACGTATTTCTGCTTGTCGGCTCTAATTCTCATCTTTACTTGCTTGTTTGCTTAAAAGTATTCAGCTTGTGCCTTGACTTTCTTTGCTCGTGTTCGGCTGTTGTTATTTGCCGTTTTCTTGTTCTCCTTATCTTGAATTCAAAACAGGATTTCGATAGGGATCCATTCCTTATGATGATGCTTCTTGCAACCCAGCACCTCCTGACATGTTGACGTTAATGCTTCTCTGAACTCTTTTCAGTTGTCCTCCATAATCGTTTCTCTTTCTTATTCTTCTTCTTCCTGTAGATCCTGTAAGGCTTGCATACTGTCGTTGACAGCTATCTTCAATTCGTTCACTTTGTCAGCATGTCGAAGGAACGCTCTACTGAACCTTTGTAATGCTGTTTGTTCAATCATTCTTTAGCTTCATCATCATACCGATTGTTGTCCATTCCGACTTTGGCGTCTAGATTTCACATCATGATGGTTAGGTCCCTTCCTGGGCACTTCGCTATGGTCGGTTTCAGCCCCTCGTAAAGCTGAATGTTTATCGTCGTCATTGCTATCATTCATGGTTGCATAACATTGGATAACATTTATTGTAATTCTTTCCTCCCTTGTTCTGAATGATGCTTTGATGATCCTAGATCCCTGGGGTTCTCATTCTATGGGTAACTGTGTTTTATTCCACTTCCTAATCTTTACAAGCTACAGAACCCTAGCTCTTCGAAGTATGCCCTTATAAATTATAAAGTCCCTGATATGTAACCGTCTGCACTATGGTTTGTACTGCTGATGTCGATAGATATAAGGAGTATCTATCAACAGTCGAAAGTGAAATGCATGCAGACAGAAGATTATGTCGATCAAATTAAAAAAAACGAAAACAGAAGATGAGACGAAAAAACACTGAAATATGAGACAACTGATTGTCGTTTTGCAAGTGGAGTACTTAGTGCATGGCTCTCAGATTTCAATGAAAAATTATCTTATTTTGTATTCAAATACATTTGATTGTCTACAAATGTGTTCTCGGTAACTACGTGCACAATTCTTACTATCCATAAAATTCTTTTCACCTCATCATCAAGGTTTTAAAGGTTGTCACTCATGTATAACTAAAATGCCGATCGCAAGGGGAAGGTTGACGTCATATACCTTAACCTCTCAAAAACTACTCATAGGGTCAACCATATGTCTTATCAATTAACTCAAATGATCAGGTGTCAAATCACTTTTTATTAGATTGGCTCATGCTGTACCTAAAATGTTGTCAATTGTAGGTTAGGGTTGACTTCATTTTCCCTTAGACTATGGAATGCCTAGTAAGGTCCAATTAAATTCAGTACTAGGACCTTATCTTTTCTTGATTAATGTGATCGATCTTCCACAGCAGGTATTGTCAGATTTACCACTTTTCACAGAGGATCTGAAACGGTGTGTGAAGTGTGCAAACAATGCTATAAACTAAAACTTCTAGATGTTCTGATTCGAATTCAGAGTCGGAAGGACAGCAATGAACGTACCTTTGACACTTCAATATGTAAAGTACTCCATCTAAAACATATTGCAATCTACAAATACGATTTAGGTAGCTCCCTTTCAGAAGTGTCCTATGTTGAAAGAAACCTAAATGTGTTGGCACCATACGATCTGAATTCTTAACTGTGACAAAAATGCCTTTCGAGCAAACGTTGCACTAGTAATGTTGAAGGGTAGTTTTGACCGATTCGATGGAAGAACTTTTCACATAATCTTCGTCAGTTTTATTCATTCCCATTTACAGTACGGAAAAATAGCATTTCACCCCTCGCTCCAAAATGATAAAGACACTCTGGGACGTATCCAGCGGTGAGCCACGAAATCAGTTCAGGGACACAAATCCAAATTAAAATTGGTTATTTATTCTCTGAAGAAGTGACTAACACAAACTCACGAAACGTCAGAAAATTCAATTTTCTCCTCATTGGAATATTACAAATATATTATTTTTATTTATAACAATGAACCTAGTGCTCAATTTATTCGAAATTATCTAATCAAACCTTGGTAATGACACGTACTTTAATCATTAATCCAGGCGTCATAAAGGTGACCTTCTAATGGCTTACAGTATCCCAAATAACTCTCGGGATCTCCTTAAATATATACTTAGGCTTATTCCCAGCACAAATCTTGGGGGTAACACATAGAAACTGAAGACACAACACAGCAGAACGAAGTGTAGACACATCTACTTCTTAAGAGTGGTAAGGTGTTGGAATTTGCAGGTGACTTAGTTATTCGAAGAGACTTCCCAGGAATCCTTTGAAAAATGAACAGGTTCATAAGGAATAAGGACAGTACCTCACTATAATTTACGAACGTATTTTTCTTTTTCCTTTTTTATCATTAATATACTAAGGTTTTCACGCAGAGTTATTGGCGACCCACTGATACTATATACGGAAGCTCATATAGCGAAAGCTTTTTGTATTCCGTCTAGAACGATTTGTGTCTTCCAGTATCTAGCAGCAACGTAAAAATCCCTATGCATCATCTATGAAAACGGTGTAAGTTCAGTTTCAAAACACACTTTAGGGGGAATACCTGGAGTTTAGAAAGAAAACGCAGCAACTCGACCAGTAATCGAACCTACTTATGCGATCCGTCAACTTTTGAAAATGCTTGTTGTCCGAAGTTTTTCAACCAACTTTAAGGTAACTTAATATGCTATTAACGGCTTGAAGTGGTTGATCGTACTGAACTATCAACAATTATTCCAATCCTTCAGCTTCACATAACTAGGTCTCCACATGTAGACATCAATGTACATTGTTTTCCTTTTCGTATGAAGTCTGCTTTACAGAAACCTTCTGTTTCATCCACTAGGACATTCCATAGCCTGAGATAAAGTGAAATTATCTCAGGCTATGGAATATCCTAGTGGAGTCTATCAGGACACAGTACTAGGACCTCTTCTTTTCTTAATCTACATAAATGATCTTCCTCAACAGGTAACGTCAAACTTACTACTTTTTGCCGATGATGCGAAACTTTGGAGAGAGATACGCAACCAAAACGATATACAGGCACTTCAGGAGGATCTGACTCAACTTTAAAGTTGGGCAGATGACAACGGACTCAATCTTAACACTTCAAAGTGTAAAGTAGTCCATCTGCGACATGTCGCAGACTACAGTCATAACTTAGGTAACTCCTCTCTAGTAGTATCCCAAGTCGAAAATGATTTAGGAGTCCTAGTGTCCTGCGATTTGAAGTCTTATGCTAATTGTGTCCAAAATGTCTTCCGAGCAAACCTTACACTGTTTACATTAAAGCACATTTTTGGCCAGTTTGACGGAAAAACGTTCCATATAATCTTCAATATTTTTATCCGTCCCCATTTAGTGTACGGGAACACAGTATTTCCTTCCCACTCCAAAATGATAAGGACACTCTGGAGCGTATCCAACGGCGAGCCACGAAATCAATTCTACGACTCGAATTCAGACATTACGAAAACAGCCCCCAAACACTTTATCTTTATCCATTAGGGTATAGAAGTGTTAGAGGTGACATTCTGATGGCTTATAGTATTCTTAACGCTTCTGGACATCCTCTCAAACACCTACTAAAGCTTAGTTCCAACACTAACATAAGAGGTAACACCCAAACACTGGAGACACAACGTAGCAGAACGAAATGTGGACACAACTTCTACTCCTTAAGAGTTTTCAAATGCTGCCAGCCGAGCTAGTCCAAGCGACTTGCTAGGAGTCTTCTAAGAGGCAACTTGATCTATTCTTATTGTCTTAGGATAGTATTATACTATGATTTACCAAATTATTTTTCCTTTTTTATTGTTAAAATACATAGCTTCCTGCCTGAATGTATTCGTGATCCCCTGCTACTAGACACAGAAGCCTGTTAAGCAAAAGCTACTTCTATTCCGTGCACAACCATTTGAACATCTTGAACCGTTCGAATTGGGAGTATTTTATTGTAAGAGAAGAAGACTCACAGAGATTCATTCTAAGCCTAACAGCTAAAGCATCGTTGCTTGAGTTTCCACGATTGACCTTGTTTATTGAATGTTTGTTGAGCTACATCGAGCTGGCTGTTACAAATTCAATTGCGGAACATGGACAAGGCTGTCGTTCAGACCAAGCTTGCAACAGTAGGTTTCGGCAATAGTCATACGTCTACTTTATGGTGTAGGTGAGAGCGGTTGTTGGCAGAACCGGTTCTCAGGGTCAATGTACACAGGTCCGTGTGGAGATTCTGGATGATACTAATAGGACAATCATAAGAAACGTGAAAGGCCCCATTCGAGAAGGCGATATTCTTACTTTGTTGGAAACTGAAAGAGAAGCAAGAAGGTTACGTTAATGTATTCCAAATAAAAGGTTGTTGTAAAATTACCAGCTTTTCATTCATAATCACATATTTTTCCACGAAATGTAATCAAATCAGACGAGCCTGCTCTTTCTGTACTTAAGAACCTACTCATAAGTATTAGACGGAATATATATTTCATATGTCAACAGTTCAAACTCCATGCTGAAATTTTCAGTCATAAAAGAACCTATGAACGCAAACTCCCTATTCTGGGGAAGCTCTGAGGTTCTCAAGTTTCGTCCAATGTCCCGAGAACATGAAGCTTGGGGAAGTTGACAACAACCTGAAACCGTAAACCACCATGACAGTAGTAGTTGTTATTTAATCTTGTAGTTACACTGCGGACAAGTCATTTGTTGGTTGCTGATGATAATAGAAACTGTCGACAGCGGATCTTTCTCTACGGATTTCAAAGCTTCGACAACTGGAATATTTCTTAGTGATGAGTGAGTTTTTTTTTCAGAAGTGTCCCGAGATATGCCTAACATCAATTGCAGACTGATGTTTGGAGAGATGTCTTTGGTTCAGAATTTAGTTATTTGTACATGTCTGTGTATGTGAGTAAGATGGTTTCTAAGTGAATTGTAAACTCGTCGAGTTATCGGATTGAGGTAAGCTGCATGTAGATATGACTGGTCAATACCATAACGTTGCGTAGTAAATCATTCACCTGAGCTACAAATCCTTCATTTCGAAATCAAGTCACGTAGTGTTTCAGTCAAACTTCCTTTTATTGGAATTTTCCACTAACTGGTTTAAGCACATTTTGAAAGGTGACTATCGGATAACACCGTGATTTTCGTAATGGATACTTGGGATTAATGTTCGTTCCCTACAAGTGACTGGATATTTTACTTGTCAAGTCTTTCGATTTGAGTAAAAACATCGCATTAACGGGTGGACGTAAAAAATTGATGGTGAATGGAAAGGTGATGGAAATCGTCGTGATTTATGACTTTGATAGGCAACTGAACATGCAAAAGTGAATAGAAAAACGGACGACATTCTTAGTTGATAAATACACCACGAACTTAAAGCAAGGAAGTATCAAGATTGGAACCGTAAGTCTGGGTTCTAAACAGGGGAACTGCGTGCCTGTGTACATTGTTTACCTTTGTCGTCTGGCTAGGCTTCGGAGTGTTCCCAGGTTTTTCTAATTGTGTCCGAGGAGGCAGGCACCTTCGGTGCGCATTGGCTCTTAGAATGAATAGTCGAGTGAGACGGGGTACAGTCAGTTGCATTTATTGTTTGGTTCGTAAATGGGATGCTGTTCTCCCGCCTTGAGCGCGTACCGTACGTAAGGTTAATGGTCGGTTATTTACCTGTCAGTTTAAACTGCAGGATACTGTTCAGTATGGTCGAGTTCGTAGCGTTAGTAGCCTTAGACATCAAGCCCTCGCTAGTTTAAGATGCTTGAAGTGCTGACTGTAACACGTACACGTGGTTTGTTGATCTATAAATACGATGCTACTTTCCTCAGTTGCATTATTGAAGTACGCTCTTAGAAAGCATGAGTGAGAATCATCTAAGCACGATAACTGCAATGGATTTACACCGTCAGAAACGTCGGTCGAGAATTTTTCAATCCATATGAGGTAATAAGCCTGATGTAATTCTTGAGCGTGAAACAAAAAAAAGAAACAGCGAGGTAATCAAAGACAATTTACGGAACTCTAGTCCATTGCTTGATTTCTATTTGTCAATAAGTCGATACCAGGGATTTCTCACCTGGGTATATATACGATCAAGTATAGTTTAAGGGTTAGATGCCCGCACCACGTGCTTTATGTAATCACAACTCCAACATTTTCAGCCTAAAAAATTATCGTAAAATCCTCACAAAAGAAGTATACGTCAACTGTTATGAAGTTACGTTTGCGACCTACTCCTTGATGCAAAAAGAAAAACGACTGCAGAACTGTCAATACAACACCACAATAATAGCTGGATGTAACGGTTTATAAAGTATAAACCGTTGTAAAGCCAGCGCATTTGTATTCATATTTTAACCATATGCGAATACCCTGCCTAGTCGACTTTATTGAAAAATCGACATAAATTTCTAATTATTGATAAGACAGGAAGCACATCCATTATTACCTTTAACAGGTGTTACATTAGAGCTCAGTTAAGAGTTCTGTATCTTCAGGTTTCCATAAATAAATCGACTTTATTATAGGCTTGCCACAAGCTCTTATGAAATGACTTGGTTCTGTTAACTACACAGTAAGTTCGGTTAACAGACTAGTGATGCATTATAACAATCAGAAATCATCCAGATGAGAAGTGTATATCATTGGCAAAGAAATCCCATTCACTTCCTAGCAATGAGGCACACACGTAGACGGATGTGATCATGTAAAGGAAGAATGGGCATCAGTACCCGACTCCACAAAACACAACAACTAATTTCCATGGGACATTCCTTTGTTACACGATAACTGTTGTATATCATATTCCTTTACTATATAAGTCAGCTAGCTGAAAGGCGAGATTTGATCAGCGTATCACATACCTGACAAAAAAACTCATACATATGAGTAACAATCTTTGCGAAATGCTTGTCGAACCAGTGATTTTACACAAAGCTCTATCAAGTAACTAAATTTACTACCAAATATTTGATAGATAAAAATCATTAGGATTGGTGTCGAGAGCTTTGAATATCTTCTCAATAAAATACTGAAGGAATTAATACGACGAACAAATATTCCCAACTTGCATTGTTTAGTTACCGTTAGCTTTACTCTGTATATAATACACAATCTACTTGTAAGGACAATCAATAAGCAGAACCGAATCACTTTACATTCTAGAATGTCACAAATTCCGTCATACTCACTCCTGAATTATAATTTCTCACATTTCGATCTGGTCATTAGCAGTTGTAACAAATAATTTAGTCTTTCCATATAGTGAGTGATATTAAGTCGAGTGAGTATAGGATAAGCAAATCAGCGCTAGAATATAGGAGAATATTTCAGTGATATATTACCAGAAATACAAACTCATTAGTTTCTATCTGAATCGTCATAGATCAGTCTTCAAGAAACGAACGCCTATAAATTACGAAGTCATTTCGTAAATATATCATTATCAATAATTATTTCGTTTAAAAATAAACACGAAACGAAGTGCATCCTTTCATATTATACCGTCGAAGTCTTAGTGCATTAAAAATCGGAAGGGACCACAACAGATAAGGAAGTTGGAAAAATGCCTTACTTCAAGATGTATATATCTTGTTTTGCATAATTCGCTAAACTGTTGGTAATTCCTGTTAGGACAAAACTAAAATGATATACGACAGTAGCCTCTACGAATCTGTTCATCAAGTAAATAATAACTGACATTAATTTTCAGAGTCAAACTAAAATTTGTCTGATCGCAATAGACTCGGCAGCATAATACAGCAATACGGTCCGAATATCTAAAAGTTGAACTATGCGACCAGTTATAGTCTATTACGACGACCGCAGTCGTCTCACCACAGATGTATATACAATATTGGTAATATCTGTCGTTAATACAATAACTGCTAAAGATTACTGAAAATAACACAAAACTGGTTTGTACTGCATGAACTTCAACTGATCCTGACAACACCTATTGCACTGATGAAAACAATTTTCATACTCATTACAAATAGAAAATATTAGAATATATTACACTGTATTCAGAACAAATTATTATTCTTATAAAGCAGAAAAGTAAAATATCAAATCGTCCAGTTGCGATGAGCTGATGATCAATAAAATATAAGCAGGAGGTTTTGCAAAAAAATTAAACTAGGAAGCACACTGCATCCAGAACACAATGATGACAGCTTCGAATGAAAATAAACGGACAAGAAATCCACGTAGGATTTCGCATGTGTCATATATACGCAAATCATTTACATATGTGTACAAGGTAGCAAAAAGTCACCTTTGATGGAAGTAAACCATAATGATGACCAATATATATGTACATTACAAGATTTTACTATTCTCTTCTTACATCTCTATTTTTATATTTTGGTTCTCCATCACTAACTTCCTGTCCATCTTCATCCTTTCCACTCGAATCAAGTTCGTTTACTGGCTCTTCATCTTCTGGTATAGGATCTGAAGACGGTTGGTGTATCAACAAAGCAGCTAGTTCTCGCTTTGCATGTTGTTGATTTAATTCAAGCATTTGTTGTAATGCATTCTTAATGACACAGAAATTGAATTCTATTAAACCTACAAACGTATAAAAATAAGCAAATTCTAGAAACTAATGTGTTATAGCAAGAATCATTGAATAGTTTACTTTTAGAATGTAATGCGTGGTAGTTGTTTGACAGAATATAAACCAACTCTACTTTCGAAGTTTTAAAGCTCATCGTCTTTCTCGAACATTCTATTGTTTCAAACTTCCCAAAAACAGATACCCTTGCATAATTATTGCGAAAACGATAAAGTCCAACGACTTACATGTGTACTTATACACAAGTTATGGAGGGATAATGCTTGCCACTTAGTAGACACTGTCGATCAATCTTTATAAAAAAAGGAGCAAAAATACCTATTGTTTGTTTATAAAAGGAGCTTTTTCATTTGAGTTGGTTCTGAAAATGTTTGAAAATCTGCAAAACATCGGACGTAGCCGAGAAACATATCTGATCATTAATTTGTAAACGGTAGGGAAGGGGGATCTTTATTAGGATTTATACAGTGATTTGTAAGGTGCTTTAATTTGAGTTGACAAATTGCCGGTTTTTTTAAGAGAGTTGAGCCTGTTATTTTCTCACTCGCTTCAACACAAATTGTGGTACAATAGTTTTCTTATTGAACGATGAAGTATTGAGTCACATAAGCATAGTCAGAATGCAAATGTTTACAACCTGTGAAAATGAATAAATCATTTTATATTTTGTACCTAATATACATACTATATTTAATGTTTTAAGAATAATGAACTGAAAGAGAGACAGACGAAACAATCGTTTACCCATTTTCTCTAAAGAT